TCTAGTATCTTCTCTGTTTCCTTTTTGAAGTGTTCAATTGCTTTCTTATCCCATCTTATTCTTGTTTTTCTTTCCTCTTCTCCCTCTCCTTCATCTTTTCTGCAGTCTCCGTTTCCTTTTATTTCCACCATCATGGGCATGTGATCCGAGTCCACTCTTTCTCCAACCTTAAATTCTCTCACAATATCCTTACAATTTTCATTAACAATTACATAATCTATTACCGAGCTTCCTCTCGCATCTATATATGTAAATTCTCCCTCTTTGTCCCCTTCCGCAGATCCATTCAATATATATCCTCCTACCTCTCCCACTACTTCTAACATACTTTTGCTGTCTTTTCCTTTTATCTTATCCTTACTCTTTCTCCCTAGCTCCTCCTCCTCCTCTAATCCTCCCTCTTCTGCTATCCTTATATTAAAGTCTCCTCGTATTATTACATTCTTCTCTCTTCCTTCCTCCATTATTTCCTTTATCTTTTGTCCTATCTCCCTTCATCTTTCCGAGTTACATACTGAGATAATTATCATTTCCTTATCCTTGCCTTTACCTTCTATTTCGGAAACCAGTAACCCTTCCTCTTTTTCCTCCCCCAAAATGTTACTTTCTTTTCCCCAATTTTTCCTTCTACCTATCAAAAAACCTCCCTTTGCTTTTTTTCTCTCTCTTCGCTGGCCTATATGCCCACCAGTGTGTGTTAGGTAATCTTTCCTTAAACCCTTCCCATCCCTTTTCTTCTAACCATGTCTCACATAAACTGATAAAATCCTTGCCCTTTATCTCAGTTCCAAAAATCTTTATCCTGCCTCTGTATTCCTGCCACATTCCAAAAAATTAGGCTTCTTCCCTTCCTCCCCTCCCTCCCTCTTCCTTTCCCTCTCTCCCCTTCTTGGCTTACATAAAATCCTGTCTAATCTCCCTTCCCCCTCCCTTTCTCTTTCTCTCCTTTCTTTCTTTCTCTCTTTTTTCTAGTCTCTCCTCCCTACCCCCCTCTTCTCTCTCTCCTATTCCTCTCTCTCCATCTCTTTCCTCCTTTTCTCTTCTCCTATCCTCTTCCTCCCTTAATGCTTCTTTCATCTCCCTTCCCTTTAGTTCCCTTAATTCCCTATCTCTATCCCTTCCTTTTCTTCTAATTATTTCTTCTTCTATTTCCTCCCATTTTTTCCAATTTCCATCAATCATCACTCTCGCAAAACCCATTTTCACCGTCTTTCCTTTCCTCCTCTCCTCCCTTACCCATTTGCCCATTTTCTCTTGTACCTTCCTTTCCTCTCACGTCAAGTCGTTCTCAATAAAAATACTTTTACCTTTCAGTTTTCTCTTATTTCTCATTATCTCCCTCTTCATCTCCTCTTCTTCCAGACTTACCACTACCACTTTCCCACTTATACTACATCTCTTCACCTTTATTTCCACATCCAATTCTTTTTTTATAAATTCCTCTCCCTTTCCATTCGTTATTCTGTCCCCTATCTCCCACCCTTTTATAACAACATTACCTCGCCTCTCCTCCTTTTCCTTTTCTACCATTAATTTCTTTATCTTTCCTATTTCCCTTTCACTCAGGCATTCACTTAACCTATCCACGCTTCTTATCGAACCATACCTACTACTCAATCTCGTTCTGCTGCTTAGCCTACTAGACGCCGACTTTCCCATTCCTCTCTATTTTCTCCTTTTCTTTCACTCATCTCTCCTTGCTTACTTTCTTCTATAAATCTTTCCGCAATTATCATTCTATCTTCTAATTCCTTCATCCTACTCTCTCTATCTCCTTCTTCTATTCCGTTATTACCTGTCTCAACTCCTTTCTTATCTCCTTTCTTATCTCCTCTCTAACCTCCTCGTCTCCTAATCCATGCGTACCCCTGAAACTCACCTTCCTCTTTTGATCTCCTTTCTCTATCACCAATTTTCCTTGCTTATCATCCACTCCTCCTTTGCCTCCTCTTACCCCCTTTCCTCCTCTCCCTGTACTCATATCTCCGCTCCGTCTACCTAACCTCTCCGCACTACTCACTTCCTATTCTGCCCCTTCTCTACTTATTCCTTATTCCCTCTATCCGCCTTTATTTTTATCGCTATCTTACCTCCTTCTGCTTCTTTTCCTACCTTCCTACTTTACTCCCCTATCTTATTTATTTTACAATCTCTATTTTTCTCTCTCTCTCAAACTCACGCAATCATACACTCGTACGCCATGTAACCAAGTCGCGATTGTATATTATAAAAACTCACATAGAAAAAAATTTCTTTAGGTTTAATATTCTTACTTGTGTGATTTTGAGATGTTTCATTAAAATACTATATTTTTACAATATTTCGTATGATTTCCAAGAAATTCATGTACGATTAAAATAAGATATTCTCTATACTTAAGGGGTTACATCTAGTCAGTAAGGTCAAAAAATATATTTTTGAAAATTTCCATTTCCTTTTAGTATAACATCTGAAGAATATTCCCTGAAAGTTTCATTCAAGTTGGCTCAAAATTGAGGAAGCTACTCTGTTTTGAAAAAGTACAGTGCATTTAGCGCAGGTAGCGCACAACTGTTTTCGAGTAGCCACGCCCCTTTTACGGAGATTAGGTCAGGTCAGGCATTAAATATAATGATGAAATATGCTTGTACTATTGCATACATAAGGTCTTAAACAGTTACCGTTAGCAAACTGAAAGATATTTAAGACAATACGTCAGTATAACAGGCAACGTCGAGCAGTAAAGTTTGTTTATTTACATCTTAATATTTGCCAGTTTTCGATATCATAGATTCACATTGAAAAGTTACGCGAAATACGAGAAATTCTAAACAGTATAAAAAATCTAGGCCAAAGAAAGAAAGCAGCATTTCAAAACTAAAATATCGGAGAGCGACGAGAGCAGTTTTAGTGTATCTGTGAAGAAACTGAAAATGCAGAAAGAAATCGTCGTGCCGCAAGATAGTTCAATAGAATACAGAATTTTAAATTTTATTACTGTATTTTCGACAATTGCTACCTTTGTGAAGTGCGAAACTTGTAATAGTGATGTGTGCAAACTGTAACAATGATGTGAAATTTGAAACTGCAAGTATGCGAGGATTTGGTTTCAAAATTATAGTGATATGTGATAATATGCGCTTACATTTTTAATGAAGGTTTCATAACCTTACTACAAATTATCGATACCATAGGAGTCTTCTGTGGCCCGTATGCGCACGCTCACGCAGCTAAAGAGAACGATGAGTGGATTAACATCGCCGAGCAACGAGCGAAAGAGATCAGAATGCGTCGCAGACAAGAGCAAATTAGCGTTTTAAAGGCTTTTTCAATTGCAGAAGGTCTATTTTATGGGCATGGAATTAATGATTCAATTTAAGATAAAAAATAAATATTTCATCACCGTTAAAACTATACCGAAAATTTTAAACGCGTTTTTCTCGAAAGCATGTTTTTCAAATTAGCTTGCAACATAACTAAAACAAATTTTATTCGATCCACTTGAAATTTTTACAGCAGCTGCTAAATTAAATTCTCTAGAGAAGTACATATGATTTTTACGATCGATTAATAACTTTTTTAATAACTTATAAATACTTTTTCACTGAAGTTTTTGGGTAAAAATGGAACTTTGTTTTCAAATGTTCACTATTTCTACAAAAATCAATATTTTAATATACAGGGTGCACGATTTATCTGAAGACATTGAAATATCTCGAGAACTATGCATTGGATAAAAAGAAGTGGTTAATGAAAGTTGTTAGTCTCGAAGGGGGACATCCAATGATACCAAACTCGACCTCCCACCCCACCCCCTGGGGGTGGGGGTTGGGGGCAACTTTGAAATCTTAAATGGAAACCCCCATTTTTTATTGCAGATACGGATTCTACGCTACAAAATACGTAAATTTTGTCCGAAATTTTTTTTTTGGTTCGTGATAGATGGCGCTGTAATCGCAAAAAATTATATTTTCCGCAATTCTCCAGAAATGATCATTGGATTGAGAAATAAAAAATACCTGTTCAATATTTTTAAAGAACATAATAAAAGTTATTCCCCCCCCCCATCCTCTCGGGGTAGGGTGGGTGATAACGTTCAAATCTCAAATGGGGACCCACATTTTTCATTGCAGAATTAGATTGTACGTGAAACTTTTATTGAAACAATTTTTTTCATTCGTGATAGATAGCGTTGAATTTTTCCGAGAAACTACTTTTAGCGTTACACAGGAACAACGACGAGGACGTAGTAGTTTTATGTTCCCTTCGGGTGCTTTTTAATGTGAGTCCCCTTGCCTCTCACAGATCAGGGTGCTTTTTTAATGTGAGTCCCCTTGCCTCTCACAGATCAGGGTGCTTTTTTAATGTGAGTCCCCTTGCCTCTCACTGTTCAATTAATTAGAGTAAGTGTTCGAAATTTTTACCTTCAACTTCAATACACTTATTGATCCTTTTTTCAAATGACTGTACACAGGATAGAAGCATATCTGCGGGAGTTTCAACGCAAGCGTTTCTTATGCGTTCTACCATGTTTTCACGAGTTGTTGGCACTTGTTGATAAACCTTATCTTTTAGGTAACCCCACAGAAAGAAATCCGGCGATGTCAAATCAGACGACCTAGCAGGCCAATTAATCGGGCCACCTCTGCCAATCCACCGACCATTGTAATCACGGTCTAATACTTCCCGTGATCATTTCTGGAGAATTGCGGAAAATATAATTTTTTGCGATTACAGCGCCATCTATCACGAATTAAAAAAAAAGTTTCGGACAAAATTTACGTATTTTGTGGCGTAGAATCCGTATCTGCAATAAAAAATGGGGGTTTCCATTTAAGATTTCAAAGTTGCCCCCAACCCCCACCCCTAGGGGGTGGGGTGGGAGGTCGAGTTTGGTATCATTGGATGTCCCCCTTCGAGACTAACAACTTTCATTAACCACTTTTTTTTATCCAATGCATAGTTCTCGAGATATTTCAATGTCTTCAGATAAATCGTGCACCCTGTATACGTGTGTACTTCTCTAGCAAATTTGATGTATGTTATAAAAATATTTTGCTTTTTGTCCTTAGCGAAAGTGTACGGTATTTCTATTGCAAGCCGCGGAAGCTCATGACCAAAAAGCAGTTTCACTTGCACAACTCCAGCGTCGCCATCTTAACGCAAAAATATAAAATTATTTTGTGTAGCTTAAGACATGCACATTAAAGGCCTTCAAACTGACTTTTCACTTATTTTATTATTTACCTACAAAAAATTCCCAAAGTTACCCTATGCTTTCAGGCGTTTACCTAGATTAAAAGGGCGTTAACCCCTTAATAACTTCATTGTTTATTCGTATAAATTATCAACAAACTAAAAATGATGATTGATTTCCTTTGAAATGAAAGATGAAATGGAAAGAAATGAATATTTCCTAAATGTTACGTCTATTAATTTAGTTTTCTTTTCAGGGCATAGTGGGTGGCATGACATTGTCGTTGCTATATTACAGCTTTAGAGAATTACCTCTAGGTGATGCTACCACAATCATCTTCAGTTCGCCAGTGATTGTAATTACTCTTTCTTTCCTTTTTCTAAAGGAACCTTGTGGTGTTCTGCGAATAATAGTAGTTTGCACTCTCTTTGGTGGTGTTGTTTTAGTTGCCAGGCCACCATTCTTATTTCAGGTAATCAAAAATTTCATAGAAATAAGATTCTACTACAACAACTGAAAAATCAATTAATACAATAATTAACAATTAAAAGCAAACGCGTTAAATATTTCATAATTTTTATGAAGTATTTAACGCGTTATATATTTATATTCTTTTACTTAAAGATTGTTTAGAATTATTGTTTAGATTGTTTAGAATTTATTAAAAATAACCGATAAAATTGAAAGTTCTGAGTTAATATTTTATCTATTTTTCGTGGGTAAAATTAAGTTTTCAACCGACAAAGTGTTAAAAAAATTAAATTTATAGATATTTATATGTCACCAGAAAATAAGATTACATTATTGTTGCAAGCAACGTTTTGATTTTTCGTTATCTTCAGATGCATCATGCCGAACACTATAACCTTATGGGATATGTATGTGCTCTCCTGGCAACCCTCTTTACAGCTCTCAATATCGTTGTTATGAGAAAATGTTCGGAGATACACTACTCCATTATAGTTCTGAATTTGTCAAGTTGGTCATTTGCTGCCGCTGTAATCTTTTATATCGTGGTATCTGGCGGTTATGAGCACAAACTAAAATTGCCACATGATTATTTCACTTGGATCCAAATTCTGTTGGTGGCATGTACCGGCCTTATGGGGCAGGTATTAGTAACGAAGGCGTTAAAAATTGAAAGTGCAGGTAAAGTCTCAGTCACAAGATCACTGGATATTATTTTGGCGTATATGATTCAAGTATATCTCTTCGGCGAAAAACCTACATCGACTAGTGTAATAGGCGCGGTTCTAATTATTTTTTCTGTCGTTTGTATGGGTTTCGAGAAAGAAATATATTCTATTTGCGACTTTATTCCCTAGTCAATTAACTGTTAACATTGTGAATAATCAATGTCGACTTAACAAATATAAGCAATGTTATTAAATATAATTATCTAATTACTTGTCCTGTTTCTCTTAAATAAGCAAAAATTATTAAATTTTAATCGGTAAAATTTAATTCTTATTTTTCATATTTATATTTTCAAGTAGTAGTCACTTTAATAAATGTAAAATATTAATTCTTTTTATTTCTTGTAATAGTCATTTCAAGAAATCAAGAGAATAAATATGTTAAAAAGTTGAGATGTGTTAGATTAAACATGTTTCTGTATGTAAGATAAATTAAAATAATATTTTATATTATTGGGTGAGTGCAAAAGTTTGTGCGGAGTTTCAATAGATGGAGTTATAAGCGTCGTAAAGTGTTGTCATTAATACTTCCATCTACATATTATATAACGTTGGAAAGGTGACGTCTTCAGCTGTTATTAAAAAAAAATCATTTGTTTTCATACAAACTGCTTCGAGAAATATCACTTTAAAAATGAGTATCGATAAGGTGCATTTACGGCATGTTATGCTTTACGAGTTTCGGAAGGGAATAAACGTTACTGCAGCCGTAAAAAACATTCAGGATGTTTATCAGGATGAAGCACCAGCTTCATCCTGACCAGCTTCATCTGACTGTGGAAAAATGGTTTGCTAAATTTCGGCGCGGAGAATTTAACCTTGAAGACGAGCCACGCTCTGGTCGACCTTCTGACATTGATGACGATGTTTTGCGTACTTTAGTGCTCAATAATTCGCGAATTTCAACAGAAGAAGTTGCTACAGCACTAAACGTTGACCGATCAACCGCTTTTCGGCGTTTAAAAAAGATGGGATTCGATTTGAAGCTCGATATATGGGTGCCCCATTTGCTGACCGAGAAGAACAAAATCAAGCGAATTTCTGCAGCCGTTTCTTTACTCGGGCGACTCAATAACGAGTCGTTTTTGGATCGACTAGTGACGGGCGATGAGAAATGGGTCCTCTACAACAATGTTCAGCGCAAACGGACATGGAAACAATCAGGTGAGCATGGTGACGCAATGCCAAAGGCCAGTTTGTACCCGATGAAGGTGATGCTCTCTGTTTGTGGGATTGCAAGGGCATAATCTATTTCGAGCTTCTCCCCGCTGGCGAAATGATTGATTCGGACAAGTACTGTCGCCAATTAACCAATCTGAATCGAGAAATAAAAGAGAAACGTCCGATTTTGTCAAATCGCAAGAGAGTCGTCTTTCATCACGACAACGCCAGACCACACGTTTCGAAAAAGACGCTGCGCAAACTGAAGAGCCTGAAATGGGATGTCTTAACGCATCCACCGTATTCTCCTGATATCGCACCATCTGACTATCACTTGTTCCGGTCATTGCAAAATTATTTAAATGGGAAAAACTTTGACTCTTTGAAGGCCTTAAAAAACGGCGTCTCTTCGTTCTTCGAATCTAAACCGCGCAGTTTTTATGATCGAGGCATCCGTATGCTGTCAGAACGTTGGGAAAAGATTATAGAAAACGATGGAGAATATATCATTGATTGAATAAAGATTTTTGTTTGCCTAATCACTGTGTGACTTTTACTCACAAACTCCGCACGAACTTTTGCACTCACCCAATACTTTAATTTCTGTAAAGAATATAAAGAAAAAATAAATACAATTACTAATTACACATTTTAATATATAAGGTAGCTCTGGGTGTTTTAGAGTTAACCTAATTTAAAACTAAAATTATTCTATAGATATTTTCTAGACAAGGCATAATCGTATTTAATTAATAAAAACGTTGAACATATCAAGAAACTAAAAGCAATTAAACTGCGACAATTATTCCTTAGTTATAATATTTGTGTAAAGTTTTTGTACTCTTGACATTTACAATTATAAAAACAATTATAAAAACAAGTTTATGTTAATATAATAGTTATAAGCAGTATATAAAATTATGGTAAGACCTGCCAAAACGTAAAATAAAAACGTAAAATGTAAAATCTGGCGCTCGAAATATAGAGCTAAAGAATGGAATAAAGGAATAAAAAGCAGAATGATTTGACAGATAAGTTATATAAAATATTGGTAATTATTGGTAAAAATGGAAATAGCACAATGACATTAACATTGAACTTGATATAAGTTATTGACAATTATCTTATTGAAAAGAAAGATTTGACAAATCAAAAATTCCAAAAAATTTGAAATTTTGAAAAAATAAAATATATCTAATTCTGTGTGTGCTCACATAGCTATTTTTCATTTGGACTCGAAAACAACTTTAAAGATAAAAACATCTCTTTAAAGAAAAGCTGATTTTCTATATTTTTGCTAATATGTCTGAAGCTATAAAAGTTATTGCAAAATGTTAAATATAAAATTATATAGTATACAATAGTCTTTATTATAACAAACGATTGGAAAAAAACTTTTTTTTAATATTCTCAATCTCCATCTTCTTACTTTTGAAAAATATTTTTGTTTTTTAATAGTAAAACAATACTTTTTCAAATTTTTCAGAATCATGTGTATGAATTGCCGCTAGTAACTTATTCTAAGAGTAAAATTATTCTTTAACCCGTTATTTTTCGGCTATTAATATGACAAAATTGAATGAAATCCAGTCAATCTTTATTATTTTCAACGTCAAAATGAAAGGAAAATAGAAAAAGAAACTTAAGTATTCAATAAATACTTTATTGATGGTAAAATCACGATTAGAATTACGAGCGTCAGTCAAATGAAAACCGTAAATGTGTAATAAAATTTCGAAATATGACACCATTGTCCTGTAAGTTGGCAATATTGTTGCTAGTAGTGTAAGGAATGTCCAGTAGGTGGCAGAAAAGTGCAGAAGAACCAAGCGTCATAATAGCAGTGTAAAGATGGCCGCCCCACTGGAGACGTACACCAAAGAACAGCATTGTTATTAGATTTTTAACAAGTGAAAGTATAAAATCTATTGAAATTAATTGTAGAATCAAAGCGCAGTATGGTAATGCATGCTTGTCACAGCAGCAAGTGTACGAGTGAAGTAGAAAATTCACAAATGGTGTGACATATGTGAAAGACGCTCTTCGTCCGGTGATTGTGGTTGTGCAGTTAATCAAAAGAATTTTTTTTCCACAGGGATTCAGACATTTTGTAAGCGTTGGAAAACTTGTATTGAGCGTGGGGAAAATTATGTAGAAAAATTATGCGGATGAGTTTCTCATTCGCTCGATAAATTATTTCTAAAAACGTTTTTCAGGTTTTGATTGACTCTCGTATACCCGGCCAGGTCCCACTCCCCGTCCCCCTCAACGTCACCGAGGGGGGCTGGGAGAAGAGGGTGGGTGTCCTCTCTCTCCCTCTCACAACGAAACCAGGATGGCCAACCCAGCCTGGTAACTCTGCTAGGTTGGGGCACCGCACCCCTTTTTCCTGCACCTGCACAATGCGGGGGGGGGGGCACTAGGGTGAGGGACCCGTCCTGAGCTGATGCTGGGGAGAGAATGCTGATACGGTTCCTCCAGTTCCCCCACTTCGGCCCGCCTGGAAAGCATCCCGAGGGGTTTTAGCCGGTAAGAATCCGGCATAACCCCCGCCCCTCTCCAAAGAGGCGGGGGTATCCATGAGGATTTCCCCCCGTGAACAAAAAAAAGAAGGCAATTCCTTGGCACCTTTGAATATTGGTTAATATTTGAAATTATTAATATTCGAAATTGTAATTGGAAAAATATGACAGAATGTGAAAAATACAATGGAACTTATAAATATCCACTATACGCGCATTAAAAATAATATTAAAATTTATTACATTTCATTTTATTTTAAAATACAAATAATATTAGGAGTACAAATAAGTTTCCGCCGTTTGACAAAAGATGGCCCCACCAGAAAGTTATGTTGAAATTGTCAGATGTAAAACGTAATATCGTAAGTTTGGACATCTGGTAGCAACATAACCTTGAAGTATTAGTGACTCCGTATCAGCATCACATTAACTTTTTCGTGCGAAAATGTCAAGTTTTGTGCCGAATAAGCGTTATTTGCGGGAACTATTGATTTACTTCTTTAATTTGAAGAAATCTGCAGCTGAGGCGCATCGATTGCTTGTAGAAGCATATGGTGAGACTGCTTTAAGTGAGAGAAGTTGTCGTGAGTGGTTTCAAAAGTTTAAGAACGGTGAGTTTGACGTGGAAGACAAAGAACATAGTGGAAGGCCGAAAGTGTATGAAGACACGGAATTGGAAGCATTATTGGAGGAAGATTCGTGCCAAACGCAAGAAGAACTTGCACTTACATTAGAAGTGACTCAACAAGCAATTTCACATCGTTTAAAATCGTTGGGAATGATTCAAAAATAAGGAAATTGGGTTCCATATGAACTGAAGCCGAGAGATGTTGGACGACGATTTTGCACGTGTGAAATACTGCTTGCCAGGCATAAAAGAAAGGGTATTTTGCATCATATAGTCACTGGTGATGAAAAATGGATCCACTACGATAACCCAAAGAAAAGAAAATCATGGGGACCACCTGGCCATGCTTCAACATCGACAGCCAAACCGAATATTCATGGAAGAAAACTCATGCTGTGTATTTGGTGGGATCAGCTTGGTGTCGTGTATTATGAGTTGCTCAAACCGAGCGAAACCATTACTGGAGCTCTCTACCGAACACAATTAATGAGATTGAGCTGAGCACTCAAGGAAAAACGCGCCCATTATTACTCTAGATACGAAAAAATTATTCTCCTACATGACAACGCTCGGCCACATGTTGCAAAACTGGTCAAAACCTATTTGGAAACACTTAATTGGGAAGTCCTACCCCACCCGCCGTATTCACCAGACATTGCCCCTTACGATTATCACTTGTTCCGGTCGATATCACATGGCCTGTCTAAGCAGCGCTTTACATCATATGAAGATACTAAAAATTGGGTCGATTCGAGGATAGCCTCAAAAGATGAATAGTTCTTCCGACGTGGTATCCGAATGCTGCCAGAAAAATGGAAAAAAGTAGTGGCTAGTGACGGACAATACTTTGAATAAAACG